CCCCTTCTTGGGACTCGCAAAATACCCCAGGGGGTTTCGGGTTTGGGGATGTGAGACCCTGTTCCGGGGAAAACCCGGGGTGTTCCTTCCCGGTTTTGTGGGGATGGGGGGTCAAGGGTAAAATGATTAGGGCATGCAGGATTAGGGGTCCCCCCCCCCCCCCCCCCGACCGTGTTTGTCGCGAACGCCTCTTGGAATATAAAATGGAACCCCAGTACCACGTGAAGGAGGCCAAGCGGGACGGGACTTACGAGGACGGCATCCGGTCCCTCACGGGGGCAAGCTGCAGCGTCTCCGTCATGCGCGCTCTCGACCTACCGGAGGAGGTAGGTGGTGACGGAAGATAACCCCCCCACCCCCAGACCGGATTTTCAATGCCCTCTTAAAAGAGTGGCGGGAGGCGGTGGAGCCGTCTCGTCTTGAGCTTTCCGAAAACGTATACAGTATGTCGTTTTCATTTGTGCGTCGTGGAGCTTCGAAAATCGGTCGAGGGTGTGTGTGTGTATGATCACCTGTTGTATCTTCCGTCACCAATGGTGACCTAACCCTACGCCTAAGCCTCTGTGTAACCCCTTGCCGAGGGTGCCCATGCCCCCCCCCAACCGTAACTGTGTCCGTGTTCATCCCTAGCCCCTCGAGCCACATGGCTCCCTGAGACGACGGTGGTGCCAGAAATGCACAGAATTTTTGTGGCAGATCACGCGTGGTGTGCAGCGAGCAGCAATAAGTTTGCCCCGCAAGGGGGTGTCGCATCGATGCTTGTGTCCCGTCGTCGTGTCTATTTTTCTAAATATAGTGAATCACCGTGTGCGGCCCATGTACATACATACGGAGATTCCAGGTAGCTGTGTTTTCGTAGGTGCGGGCTTTGTCTGAAATATCTCCCACGGATTTCGAATGAGCGGCAGAGTTGCCGGGAGGCGGCAGTGGTGGCCCCGTAGCTGAGCCCGGTAGCGACTATGGGGGGGGGGGGGCGCCGTGAATATATCATCTTGAGGGAGGCGGTGCGTAGCTGGGTTGGTTCTTGTCGCTCACAAGGCGCCTATTGTACACCAGAGGCCGTCTCCCATCTCGTAACCCGAGATGCTCCCACGGTGTTTTGCTCCTTTCTTTCGGGCTTTTTGGCGATGCTGGTTTACCTCGACAACATGTTGACAGAAACGGTTTCAAAATGTCTCATGGTACAGCCTGGGTAGAGTAGTAGCTTAGCAGAGAGCGGTGTGTGGGGTCCAAAAACGCGTTTTTGTATTGCTCAGCTTTACTGCCCTTATTTATTTTTCTCTCCCTGCCGATGGGTTGTGCCTGCCCGTCTCTCTTGGCGCGTCTGTCTTATGTACGGCCTTGCCCCCCTGTTCCTGGCCTTTCTCCGTGCTGTTTTGTTTCCCGCGCGTGCTGTGCGTGTTCCATCAAGACGGGTCTTGCGAAGGGAGAGGTGGAGGCGGTTAAGGTGACGATCGACAAGTCCATGACCTTCCAGGTGAGCGCAGAGAAAGAGGACACACACATGTCGGATAATCCCATCCGCACGTCAGGGGTGCTGCTTTTACGTGGTCCTTGCTAACATCTTTGTCGTATCACGAGGCACAGGCAGTATTTGGCTGGGGTGAGGGACAGGCTACTTCTGTTTGGGAGGTTGCCATCACCTCAAGAACCAGACGCAACAATAGACGTTTTCTTCTTCTTCGTATTCCACTCTTTGTGTGATGGCGAACGTTGGTGGCCTGGCGGGACCCCGCAGGGTGTACCAAATCCTCACCCCCCCCCCCCCCCTGCTCTGCTCCACCTCCACACCGACGACTCCCAGCAAATCCTGCCCAAGTACCACTTCGCGAAGGAGGAGACGGACCGGCGGATCGAACTTGCCAAGAAGATGCAAGCAGAGAGAGTAGCGGCGGGAAACAAGGTCAATCAAAGACAGATCTTCAGCAAGACAGGTGTGGGGTATGCTGCTGCTGCTTCTGCTTTTTGCGGGCCGGTGTTTTTTTCTGGACCGCTTTCGCGAGGGTACTATTGCTTGTCTATGAAATAGAGAGGGGGGGTTCCTATCCCTAACCCCAACTAAAACCAAGCTTCATAATATCAGCGCGAAGGTTTGTGTTTTTTGTTCAGGAGACAAGGGTGTCTGCATACACATTCTTTCTCGAGAGCATGCAATACTACAGCGGTTGCAATCGTGGATCGATCGACCTCCAACGAACGTCGCCCGATCCTAGTGTTTTATTTGTCGAATTTTCGTGCTTTTGTGAACGTGTTTTCGTAATCCCATCGTTGTCTGTGTTCTGCGCGCCTCTTTGCTTTCCTTCGTGGTATTTTGATCTGACTTCACCCAGGGGGCTCCCTCTCCAACCCTCCCCCTTCCCCCCGCTTCTTCTCCCTTGCCACACCATACGTCGTTTTATCCGGCAATACGGTACCAGTATGCGGTAGTCATACAGTTCCGCGTGCACTTTCGAGAGTTTTCGTTCGGCGCTTGGGGAATGTTTCCATGAACGACGACGCTTCATGCTTTATGAGGTTCATGGTACGGTATGACAGACGAAACTGCTGCCCCCCTCTCCCAACACCTTTTTTTGTCATTTGGTCCTTCTCTTGGCTTGTCTACTTCAGGCTTCTGGACGAAGCGTTCCGGCACGGAGGTCTACTTGGTGGTAGACTACCCGGTACGGTATGGTACGGTACGGTACGGTATGATATAGCACGGTACGTTGCGGTAAGAATTCGTAATATGGCGCGCTGTCGGCTCCTTGTTGTTGTTGGTACTGGTGCCGGTGCTATTGTTCTTGTACTTGTTCTTGTTCTTGTTCATGCTGGTGGACTACTCCGTACGGTACGGTAAAAACTTCGTTATATGGTGCCCTGTCATCGGCCCCTTCGCGCGTTGTTGGTTCTGGTGCTGGTGTTGCTGTTGTTGTTGTTTTTGCTGCTGCTGCTGCTGCTGTTGTTGTTGTTGTTGTTGTTGTTTTTGATGATGTCCTTGTTCTTGCTGCTACGGTTTTTGCCGATTCGCTGCCGTACTGTTATCTTCTCATGATCCCCCCCCCCCCCCCCCTGCTCACTCGCCTTCTTTGCGTACAGGGGCGAGTAACCTCAGGGTACTCGACGTACGGGGTAAAAAGGCCGGTGACGGTGTGGTCTCCCTGCCGAGGGAGGGTCGAGATCTCGTACAAGGCGTTCTTGAACCACCATTTTCGTTTCCAGCACCGAGGCAGAGGCCTCCCACCTGTGGGACGTGGAGATGATCCGGGTGAGGCTGAGACCTAAACTCCACACCGAAAAGGGTTGCGGAATATACCGTAGGTTGCATTGTAAGATGGTAAAATGGTTTGGGTATGTTTTTTTTTTTTTTGTGTTTGTGGGCATTTTTGTTGTTTAAACTTTGGGGACGCCGGTATCGCTCACCTCGATTCTCAAGAGCTCGGCAGAAAAGGCGGTGACGATGCCGGCGTTCGAACCGCCTCGTCGAGAGAGATTTCACAAAACGTGTCGTTTCATTTTGGCATCCTCTTCCTCGTGGAGTTGTCGAGGTTCGGAAATCGGTCCAGGGTGTGTGTTGTCTTGCGTCATGCCACCTACGGTACCGCCATGGTGGTAATTTACCGCCCAAAAAGATAATCATTAGAATAATGTGTCTTGCCTTTGCCGTGGAGGCTGGTTGGCCATGGTAAGCGATTGCCAGCACGGAAAAATTGTGGGGTGACGGGAGCCCCGGCAAGGCACGGAGCCCCCCCCCCCCCTCCCTCCTCGCTCTCGCAGTTATTTTCCTGTTGGGTCCTAGTATCACCATTTTTCTCCGCACTTCGCTGCTGACAACAGGCTGTCTGCCTGCGACTGGCATCACAAAGCCTGTTGTTGGCATCATTAAGGCTGTCGATAGATACATTTGGTTTCCATCGAGACCTGAACAGCCAACAGCTCAACACCTGACTTGTGCTGGATGCACGCGGGGGGCTCTTTGTCTCGTGGTTCAGTATTTTCTGTTGGGTTCCTTTTTTTCTCCCCAACCACGTGCTGCGAAGTACTACCCAACTGCCGTCGATTGGTCAAAACGAAACAAAAAATGTCGCGCGGTCTGCGGCGTACCATCTTCTTCTTCTCAGGCAGTACATGAGCGTGATTTTTTCTTCAGTTTCTTCTTGCTGTAAACCTCTTTCGGTTTCCTCCTTACGCTCTCTTCTCTCATCTCTCTTGTTTCTTTTCTCCGTCCAGTGCTGTTGATGTTGTTGATGTTGTTGTTGTTGTTGTTGTTGTTGTTGTTGTTGTTGTGGTTGCAGGCTCAAAAGACACGGACGTTTCCTTTCCTTTGCTTTCCTCCTTACGCTATCTTCTCTCGCCTGTCTTATTTCTTTTCTCCGTCCGGTGTTGTTGTTGTTGTTGTTGTTGTTGTTGTTGTTGTTGTCGTCGTTGTTGCCGGTATTGTTACAGGACAAGCAGGACACGGACGTTTTCGTGCTCCGCGGGTCTAGGCTGCTAATGGCCTGGCCCCACCTCGACAAGGCCTTCAGCTTCCTCTACGGCGGGCCGTCGTGAGTCTCTCGACAAGCCAACCACACGGCACTCTTATCCCCCCCCCCTCGGTGTTTGCCATCGGGGTTGGGTTTTCGTCGCTTGGCAACGACGTTGTAAAACAAGCCGCCCCCCCCGGTGTTTGCCATCGGGGTTTGGGTTTTCGTCGCTTGGCAACGACGTTGTAAAACAAGCCCCCCACTCGGTGTTTGCCATCGGGATTGGGTTTTCGTCGATTGGCAA